AGTGCTGGGAAGGCTAAACTCTTCTCCATATTTTTTTTCGTTCCACTATGCCTGTTGCTCTTGTCTCTGGGCGTTTGTCCGAGATCCACGAGTAATCCTCCTTTTGATTTACCTGCTCAACACCGTTGAGCATGTTTACTCCCCATATGTATTTTATTTTTCCAAAGCAATCCCACAACATGCAGTAGTCACCAGGAAAACGATTGTTGTTTTGTTTGTTTTTGTGCCTGTTCGAAAATTGTCATGGTGACCCTAGAACTGTAGTTATCCGATAGCCAGTTGGACTTGCATAGCAAACGGTTTGCTGACAGAATAAACAGTGTCTCACAAAATGAGAGAAAGCTTGTCGAACCCGGGGCCAAATTATGCGCATCATTTGACCTATCACAGCATACCTATGGAACGCGATATTTGTCTTATCTGCAGAAATGTTTCTGCACTGTATCAGTCAATACATACGGGATAAAAACTAGATGTATGAAGACCGCGGATGCGAAGAATACTTTATTAGTTTTTATGTAATAGTGAATGAAGGATAACACGCAACAACAACAAAAAGCGATTTACTATGTTTCGAGTAATTCAGCCCTTTCCTTTTCTTGTTCCTTTTCATTCGGGTTCCCCTGATCAGCTCCCTCGTACAGCTCACCCTGGTCGGTTGACTCGTTCGACTCTCCCTCATTAGTCGACATGTTCGGATTTCCCTGATCATTTCCTTCGTTTGGCTCTCCCTGATCAGTTGGCCAGTTCATCTCCCCCCGGTCAGTTCCCTCATTGGACTCTCCCTGATCAGTGGGCCAGTTCAGCTCCCCTTGGTCAGTAGGCCAGTTCAGCTCCCCCTGGTTAGTTCCCTCGTTCGACTCTCCCCAATCAGTTGACCAGTTCATCTCCCCCTGATCAGCTCCCTCGTTCGGCTCCCCTGGTGTCGTTTCCCAGGAGCCACCTTCAACGTTGCCATTCGTATTACTATCGTACACGTAGGTGTCATGATATTCCTCCTCATACGCTTCCGTATTCCTGCCGCGAATGTTTTTCAGATTTCTTGTCGTTGGAGTTTCATTTTGTTTTTCAGGGTCCAATAAATCTTGTACTGCGCTCCACTTAGCCCGTCCACTGGGGTAGGACAGATCCACGGGATTCGACCAACCACAGGCGTTTTTCATTCGTACAGAAATGGTGTAGGTCGCATTCAGTTGCGGCAAACTAATTTTATAATGATTTCGGGTGGGTGAGACCCAAAAACTCCGTGATTGTTCTGTTTCACTGATTAGTAGAACATCAATTTCTTCTACTAAATCGTCAGTATCAGGTAATTTCCAATTCAATTGGATCTGGTCATTTACTCGATTCATCTGCAAATCTTCAATTCTTCCCGGAATACCTGTTACGGGGGGCGGGGTGGAGGTGGGTCTTTTCAAGTTACAACAGACAATTTAACGAGGTAGAAAGCGAAATTACCAAAAGCTTTTGATAATGCAGCGTGTTCATGAGTATAACTGAATTACGCGTATATATAGCTCATTAAGGAATGATATGTCAACTGGAATGGTTCATGGGTTACAACTACCCGTAGTGTTGTTAATAAATGTCTTCCCATCAATATTTCAGAATAAAACTGTCATCCGTGTCTTCTGTTTGTGGTGGTTCTTAACCTATGGAGTTGTGGCACGCATGTGTGTTACCACCACCCAGCTCAGAGCGGGGCCGCTCAGCTCGGATTGCCAATTCTAGTTCGCCAAGCCGCCAAGTTTTCTCCCGCCAGTTCCGATTTGAAGGCAAACAGTATTGACTGTAATCGGTGCCTTCCATCAACAGGCTCAAGTACTTATTTTTACTGCCTACAAGACTGGATTCAATTTGCACGTTCAGCTCAAAACAACTTGTGAGTAATGCTAGCGGGAAAAAATACAATCTTGAATATTACTGACCGTAACAATAATGGAAGTAATCGCATCATTATCATTATTATTATCACTGATATAAGGATTACCATCGATAATGGTAATGCATTCTGCACAAACAAATTCAGTAGTAGTCATGAGTGATCACCCACATGCTCCCTTTCTGATTAACTTGTAGATAAACTTTCTTTACTGTCAAAATTACATTGAAGATGCAAAGGCTTTTTCTATCAAAATGCACTCAATAGTGCTCACATATTGAAGGACACAAATTACTATTTCCATTTCGTACATCTGTGTGTGTCTGTGTGTGCAGGCTTGTGCATCTAAGCACTTGATTTAACGTGAGCTGTGGTGACAGACTCTTGAGGTAGTAACTTCCATGACCCGAACCTAATGACCACATTATTAGAATATAAAAATCAGCCACCAATCCTCGAGTTGTACAACACTAAGCAGAGCAGTCTACTGTGTGGTATCCTGTGGTGACAGTCCAGTGATTCCGCCTATTCTGTAGGTGGCGAGGTCCGGTGATGCAAATAATTATCACAAGCACTAATGCCTCAGCATTTTGCATTATTCAACGATTATTTCACTTCAACCTGAACACAATTCTGCGAAAAATAATGGTCTTTTAGTCAACTATAAACACCAGCTATCTTTTCTTCTGAGAGTTCATTTGTAATGAGACATTTTAATTTGGAGCATTATTCGCACTGATTCAGTGAATGCTTTTTCCAATGTGACAGCATTTCTTGCTCCATAGTTTCATTCCTAACTCACCCCTTTAGTTGATCTGTGTGTGTATGCTTGTGTCGTGTCCGAATCTCCTATATTTCAAATGCATGAATTCCTGCGAGTACAGGATAAAATCTTGTTCTGAGAAGTTTCCGTTCGACCTTGACTGCGATACACCGGTTTTTCCGGAGTGCGCTCAATTGGATTATTCTATTGTGGTTTTGTGCATTCAACTGGATCTCTTCAATCATACATGTCCAAGGAAAGCTAGGCTTCCAAGAACACGTGTGTATCCTGCTCCAGGATTGTGGGCCCCAGGGCAAAAGCACTCCGGTGTGATAGGTTGCTGCACCTGAAATGCACCCAAATCGTCGTAAACAAATACGAATGGCTAGAGGAATGCCTCTCTCCATTCCTGAAGATCGTGTGCTGAGGGTGTTCGATCATTGCTTCCAAGGAAGGCAGAGGAAGCTCCCTATGAGATCTCAGTGCTTTATTGTTGTCAATCTTCCGGAGGCTGAGGCCCCCACCGCCCAGGCTCGCTTGGACAACGACCTGAAGCTGCTGAGATCGCACATAGTTACCTTGTTTGATGGTGACGAGACGGAACCAGCGGCATCGATCAGAGTAAAAGCGGCATTTAGGCTTGGAAAACCCCGTCAGGATAATTCTCCACGACCACTGAAAGTGGTTCTTGGGGCATAAAGCGGGACCAAGGCGAAACTCCAGCGGACCCACAAGCTGAAGGGTACTCCGGTGCGGTTCCTCAGGGATCTTGATCTGGACAAGCGCAGTAAACTGAAAAATGCATTGAAAGAACTTAGGGAGCGCTGTGCAAAAGGGGAAACTGGTCTGTGTATACGGGATTTTCGTGTGAATCGGACGCGCCCTCAGCTGCATCGGCTACCCTTGGTCGAGGGGAGGACCCAGGAGACTGTTTAACCACGGACGGGGAATTAGGTTAAGGAGCCAGTGGCGAGGTAGCCACGCTGTGTTAGCCTCAAACAATATCCGAGAGATGCTGGGAAAAAAGGATGAGTTGGAGGACTGGGTTGTATCCCACAATCCCCATATTTTTGCAGTCACTAAGACCTGGCCGACACCAAATGCCCGGGACTCCGAAATATCACCCCACGGATACACAGTGTTTCGAACGGATCGATCATTGTCACGTCGCGGTGGTGGAGTTATTCATTTTGTCCGCTCGAGTCTCCCTGTTCGAGTGATGGAAAACTACGCCCATTCAGAAGGATTTGAAGAAGCCCTGTGGTGCAGAATCAAGCTTTGTGCCGGAAAGTATATCACTGTTGGAGTGATCTACGGCACACCGGCTGTTCGCGTCCCGGAGCTGTTGGACAGCATACAGAGGTACGCCTGAGATAGACATTGTTGTGTCTTAGGTAAGTTTAACGCGCCACATATTGATTAGGAGACTGACATCTGCTATCAGCACGCAGATTTGTTTTCCAGAAAACTTAGTTTCGCTGTCCAGGCCCTCTAGCTTGTTTAGTATGTTCATGTGCCCACGCAGATAGTTGGGAATCAAAATCTATCCTTGACTTGGTGTTTTCACCGAGGCAATCAGGTACGACCAGGATTGATCTCCTTCCACGCGTGGCGTACCCCAAACAGGCTGACTACAGTACGGAAGGAATGTATGGCACTCATCCTTCCCGGAAATGTGTCAGGCTGCATCCCTCATAAATTGGGTTTCCCAAAACCATGAGAATGTGAATGTATCCTGGGAGTTGGTTCGTCATAGAATCCATCAACTCGTACTGGAATTCTCTCCACCCCACGGTCACCGAAAACACCCTATGAGCCCGCCGTGGTTTGATCGAGAACTGCGGGCGTGCCTCGGGTAGCGGAATAAAGCCTGGTCCAGGTACCGTGCAACAGGTGCAGGATATGAGGAATATCGATGTATTAGGAATCATTGTACTGCACTGAAAATATGCAAAAGAACCAGATTCGAGGAACGACTCGCAGCGGACTCGGTACAAGCACCAAAGCGATTGTATCCCCACCTCAGGCGAAGAATCAGAGCAACGCCTAGTCTTCCGACTCTCGCCAAAGATGGGACACTAGCCAAAAAAGATAAGAACAAAGCTCAGATGCTGGCATCACATTATGCTTCAGTGTACACCCCAGACTCCAGCGCATTGGCACATCCACTGGACACTGACATAGCCCTGAACTGAAATACAGTATCTATCGGAGAGATAGCCCTGGAGCTGCGTCGGCTAAAGGTTCATCAGTCACCTAGACCTTATGGTGTGCATCCGCTTATTCCGAGGGAGCTGGAAGATGAACTTGCAGTGTCACTGTCCAACCTGCTCAATTTGTCTTTCATTCAAGGGCGTTTACCGCTGTCATTGTTATGCTGTCATTATTTCGCTGCCCAAAGTTATGAATAGGAGTGATCCTGAGAACTACCAACCAGTCAGCCTTACTAGCGTTGTGGACAAAGTAATGGAGCGACTGGTGGCCGCACAGCTTCGGAAGCATTTGGTGTGCCACGGTCTCCTGTGCCACCAACAACATGGTTTCCGGCCAGGTCGCTCAGGCCTCTCAAACCTGCTACTTGCGCGCGAATGCTGGACCGAGGACAAGGCCAAAGGACACGAAACGGAGATCATATTCGTGAACTTAAGCAAGGCCTTCGACAAGGTGCCGCAAGACCGCCTTCTGCGAAAGCTGTCCAACCTAGGTGTAGGTGTGGTCATGCTGAATTGGCTGCGAAACTTCCTCATCGACCAGAAATTCTGCCTCCGTGTTGGCAAATCGCTATATGCGTGGTATTCCTCTCCCAGTGGGGTCCCCCAAAGCTCGGTTCTTGGTCCAGTGCTCTTTGTGGTACATGAGAACAACCTTCCCGGTCAACTATGCAGCCCATCCCTCGTGTATGCGGATGACATTAAATTCTGGCGTACAATGGAGGATCCAAATGACCGAAGTTCTCTTCAAGCGGATTTGAACAACCTGGCTCAGCGGGCGGACACCTGGGTTCTTCCAGTCGACACGGCAAAGTGTGCTCATCTGCACTTGGGGCGTGCTGACTCAGAGGTAGTCTAAAACTTCCAGGGAATCACACTGCGCAGAACATCGTGCAAACGAGACCTGGGGGTTATGGTTACATCATCTCTAAAGACCCAGGAAAACACCGATCGGGTCTGTCCTAGTACATGGAGAATTCTGGGACCTATTCGGTGGTCTTCCAACCAACTCACGATGGACGGTTTCAGACTGTTGTGCGCTTCCCATGTCACACCAGAACTTGAGTATGGTGATGCGGCGACATACCCCTGCACGGCCGATGAACTGGCTAAGATGGAGCGTGTACAACGTGCTGCCACTAGACTCGTTGTTGGACTACGCGGGACCAGCTATGAAGGCAGTCTACAGGCTACTGGTCTGTTCCCAATTGCGTATCAACTCCTCAGGGGAGATCTCATCTGTCTGAGGAAGATCTTGAGAGGTGATATGGGCTCGGAGCTGCAACAGTACTTCCCTTCACGGATAGAGGACCGCACGAGGGGGCACTCTCTCACATTGCGGAAACTTCAGTCAGTTGGTCTTCCGTTTGTCTACCGACTCTCGCATAGGTCAACAACACTCTGGAATTCCCTTCCAGCGATTGTCGTGGAAGAGAAGGCAGACGCTGCTTTCAAACGGCGTCTGGATGAGCACCTGAAGGGGCTATGGAGGAACGAACTCTTGTGATCGGACCTTCGACCAGTGGTGATGGGGGTTACACGGGCACCCTGCCCTCTACCCTCAATCCTGAAGACTGAAGACTAAAGACTGAAATTCCAAGCATGCACCGATTTATCGTGATACTGGAGGAATGTGGTCAAATCAATTTTGGAAACAGTGTATGCTACTTTAATGTGAACAAAGATGCTCTTACAAGTGATTGCGATGCGATACCATACGAATGATAGCGGTACAACATTGCATTTCTTCTCGACAACATGGCTTCCGACGGGGCCGTTCCTGTCTATCCAATCTCCTGTTGGTACGTGAGCATTGGGCGGAGTCTAAAGCTGAAGGTTATCCTACGGATGTTGTGTTCGTGGATTTCAGCAAAGCGTTTTATACGGTGTCTCACCCGAAGTTACTGATGAAATTATGCTCGTTTGGCATCCAGGGCCCGCTGCTGTCATGGATAGATGACTTTCTGAGGGACAGACTATTCTCGGTGAAAGCGTCAAGGGCACGATCACCATGGTTAACAGTCTCTAGTGGCGTTCCACAAGGATCAGTACTGGGGCCAATACT